CTCACTACAACCCAATTCCCCATAAAAATACCTCAGGGGAGAGAGACACCTGCTGTTAACAAGGATTAAACTACTATGCTCAACCATACGCAGATTTATGGAAAGGATAATAAAAGATAAACTCTCCTACATCAGATTCAACTCTTCCTCAGGCCTACATAGAAAAGAAACCCAGATTTGTATCCCACTGAGGTACGTACAGCTTCTTACCTCTGTAGAAAAACCTTAATAACACCCCGCTACCACCGTCATCTCTAGTACTCTCCCTATGTGTCAGATTACCTCCAGTTTACAGCTCTTCCTCACCCTGCAATTGATCACAAGGCCATAGCTAACATTTATAATTCTTTCTCCCATTGCTATTCCACATTCCCTTTGTCATCATCTCAGCTCAATGGGGTTCTTTACATTCAACCTTCATTCCTCTGGAGTCTGAATCCTCAGTTTTATCACCTTTATTGGGTTGCTACAGTTTCATTAACTTTTACTAAGTGGTACCCCAAAGAATCTCCTGGATATCAGGCATGGTCATTCCTTTCCTTGTTATGTAGAGAAACTCAATTTTCTATTGGTAATTTGGATTGAATTACTCCAGACAGTATGGTAACTCCTTTGTTTTCCTGTTGGTTCAGTTACATAACCCAAAATGGCCAAGCAGCAGTCTCAGCTTCCAGAGACTAGAACCATTGAAGCAACCCTGGTAGAAGTATTCTTCCCTTGGGAACTGTATCAGACACTTCTTGTGCACCACTCAGATTCTCTCAGACATCATTTTTTTTTTTTTAGATTTTTTTTTCCTTTTTCTCCCCAAAGCCCCTGGTACACAGTTGTATATTCTCTGTTGTGGGTCCTTCTAGCTGTGGCATGTGGGACACCGCCTCAGCATGGCTTGATGAGCAGTGCCATGTCCGCGCTCAGGATTCGAACTGACGAAACACTGGGCCACCTGCAGCAGAGCGCGCGAACTTAACCACTCAGCCACGGGGCCAGCCCCTCTCAGACATCATTTTTAATCCAGCCACAGCTGCAGTAACCTGTTCTGCAGACTTCAATCAGCTTTACACAGATACAATCCGACTGCATTATCTCAGGCCTGTTCCACCTGCTTCTTGCATCGTGCCGTAGTGTTTCTCTGATTCCATTGAGTGGAATATCATGGGAAGCCAGCCTAACAGTCATACATACACAGCCTGAAAGTGTAGAGGAGTTGTTGACCCATGAGCCAACCCTTAAATAACAGGTGCTTGGAGCTGATGAATATATGCTTCCCCTGTTTTCACTAAGGTAGATGATCCTGTGACTCATTTCATCAAGACTTATTCACTCCTAGCGGTGGCCAACTCAATAAGCCACCCCAGTATTGGCTCTCTCTCTTCTTCTCTCTTTACACCCCTCTGTCACTTTTCCCAATGAGATAATATTCCCAAATTACTAGCAAACAGAACTTTGTCTCAGTCTCTGCTTTTTGGACAACCTAGGCTATAAGAGAAAGTAAGATCTCTAAACCAGCAGAGCCCAAAACTGTGACGGTGGGAAGCAAAAATTCTGTGAATACATTATTTGGCCTAATAACGAGAGAAATAAGTCATGCTACCACCCCTTGATCCCCAGATTCATGAAACCATGGCTATGGGAGAACCAGCACCATATATGGGTTCCTGGTTCAAAGTATACACCGTATTCTACACGAGAGTACACCAATCTTTCCAGATGTGACCTCCCAACCGGCACCACAACTGACTCTTTGATAGACAGTAACTGTAAAGCTAGAAAAGAACTTGCTATCATCCTCCTTTCATGTACCTTCCAAGGGATTCTTCCATCTTGATTGTTTTTTAACCTGGAGACTATCACACCCCTCCACTTACTTGCTTCACAGAGGGGTGAGCAATAGAGTTCTAAAGAATGAGAACAGGGAGAAGATATAGGGAGGAAAAGCAAGAGTTAAGATGAGTTTCAGAAGGACAAGTCTAAGGAAATAAAGAGAGAATTAAATGCATACATATGCATATATAATGTGTATATATATATAAAACAAGAAATGTGCAAGATTTTTATAAACAAATTTATAAAACTTTACTGAAAGACATGAGATCTTAATAAAAAGACATGCCATTTTCCCTAATGGGAAGATTTACTGTTATAAATATGTCTGCTCTCCCCAAAGTAATTTATAAATTTGATGCAATCCTAATCAAAACTCCAACAGGATTTTTTTTAAAAAGACTTTGAGACAATGTCTATAAGAACAGCTAAGAAATCAATCAAAAAGAGCCTTAAAAAGGCCCATGCTTGTATGTTTTATTTTCTAATAAAAATAGTATTTCAAATCAACAGGAAAATAATGTACTTTCCTTTCATCCTGAATAGTAATTCAAGAGATGGCACTGGAATAATTAGCCACCTATTTGAGAAATAAAAATAAAGTTAAACCCCCATGCCTTGCAACCTACACAAAAGTAACTTCCAAATGTATGAAAAGGCTAAATATATTAAATAAGACTACAAAAGAATAAAACACATTAAAAACCTTAGTGTAAAATTTAACTTTATTTTTTCCAGATGCTTCCCAGTGGCCCTAACACCATTTATTGAATACTCTCTGTTCTCCATGATTTCAGATGCTACCTTTATCACTAAGTTCTCTATGTGCTTGAATCATTTTTGTACTTTAAATTCTGTTCTATTGGCCTGTCTATTCACGAACCAGTACCATGTTTGGCATGAATAAATATGCCTTCCTAATATGTGTTAGTTTTAAAATATGTCTGCCATTTCTTTGACACTCTTTTCTTCCAATGGTAGAGCCTAATTCCCCTCTCCCTAAGGGTGGTCCGTTCTTAATGACTCATTTCTAACAAACAAAATGTAGTAGAAGTGGTGCTATGTGACTTCCAAGGCTAGGTTGTTAAAAGGGTAGCTTCCACCTGGCGAACTCACTATTGAATAACTGGCTCTAGGGAAGCTGGCTACCATGTAATGAGAACACTCAAGCAGCCTTTTGGAAAGACCCACATAGTAAGAAACTGAGGCCTCCTACTAACAGCAAGCACTCACTTGCCAGTCATGTGCATGAGCCACCTTGGAAATGGGTCCTCATATGAGACCCTAAGCCAGAGTTTCCCAGCCAAACCACTCCTGAAATCCTGGCCCACTGGAACTGTGAGAGATAATAAACACTTATTGTTGTAACCCACTAACTTGGGGGGTAATTAATTATGCAGCAATAGATAACTAATTTAACATGTTTAAGGCTTTACAATATCCAATAAAACTATCTTCTATTGTTCTTTTTCCGAGTTTTCCTATACTCATTTATATTTTTTGTGAGGACTTTTTAAATTTATTTTATTGCAGTAACATTGGATTATAATATTATATAACTTTCAGATGTACATCATAATATATTTCGAATTCTGTGTAGATTACGTCATGTTCACCACCCAAAGACTAATTATAATCCATCACCACACATGTGCCAAATCACCCCTTTTGCCCTCTCCCCTCCCTGCTTCCCTTTTGGTAACCACCAAACCAATCTCAGTTGCTGTGTGTGTTTGCGTTGTTCTTATCTTCTACTTATGAGTGAGACCATATGGTATTTGACTTTCTCCCTCTGACTTATTTCACTTAGCATTCATTTTTTTTATATAACCTTTAGTATCCAGCTTGGCTAATATGTGCGTGTGTGTGTGTGTGTGTGTGTGTGTATGCATGTCTGTGTATACACACAGAAAGAATTATGTGTTAAAAATTAATTTGAGAAAAATCATTTGTCTTCCTATCCAAGAGAATGATTTATTTTTCCATTTGTCCATCTTCTTTTGTGTCCTTCATTAGTAAAGTTTTGTTCATATACTTCCCACATTTATCATTTAGTCTTGGCTAGTCTTGGATATTTTTCTCTTTTTTTTCTATTTTAAATGGTATCTTTATCCATTTTACACTTTAACGGTTGTAGGTCATATAAATAACATCTACTGATGATTTCTGCATATTAGGTTTTATATTCTAGTACCTTACCAAATCATGTCATTTTTGCAGTAGTTTCTCAGTTGAGTTTCTTAGGTTTTCCCACATACAGTCATCCCTTAGTAGCTGTGGGGGATTGGTTCCAGGACTCCCGCAGATACCAAAATCCATGGATGCTTAAGTCCCTTATATAAAATGGCATAGCATTTACACATAAACTACGCACATACTCCCATACACTTTAAATCATCTCTAGATTACTTCTAATACCTAATACAATGTAAATACTGTATCGTTTAGAGAATACTAACAGGAAAAAAAACCTGTACATGTTCAATACAACCATAGATACAACCATCCTAGGCCTTTCAATCCAAGGATGCAGAACCCACTGATATGGAGGGGCAAGTGTATACAACTATATCATCTGCCAATAGCAATAACTATTATACCTCAAATTTTTCTCTTTTGTCTAATGTATTTTCCGGGTCCCAGAATATTAATTCCATAAATTCAGAGATTCTTTATTTACTTTGTTAACTGCTTTGTCTCCAACACCTGAAACAGTGTTGGCACAGAATATACGCTCACTAAATATTTGAAGTAATTAAATGAACTACACAGACTAGCAGCTCCAGTATCACGCTTAGTAACAATACTGATAGTGAGTACCCTTTTCTGGTTCCTGACTTTAGTGGGAATGTCTCTATACTTCCCCAGTAAGCTTGATGTTTGCCTTTGGGCTGACTCAAATGTATTATTACCTCGTGTTAAATAAGTATGTATCTATTCCTATTACATTGAGCATTTTTATCTGAAACGATTGTTGAATTTTAGCAAATGCACCATTTTTATAAAAACAGTAAAGTTATTTTTCAAAAACTCATTCCACATTTAAAAGGATTTAAATATTTAATTCAACAAATGAAATACAGAAAAACAGTAGCTATAAAACCATGGAGATGGTAATTTAAATAACAACAGAAAAAAGCTTTAAATTATACTATTTAAACTTCCTTTATCACTATTTAAATTTCATTCATTACATTAGTATAATACCTCATCTCAGCATCTACAGTTTTAATAAATGCTTGGAACGTTTTTTGTTCAGAAACAGATGCCGGTCTGACAGAAACACATTTGAAAATATTCTTTTTCTGGTCATAGTTTCCAACACATCTATGAACTCGACCTCTAATCAGTTTTGGAAGTTCACGATCCTGTTTTTTAAAAAACAAATATCAATAAGGTTATTTATTACTTCATCTGAATTTCAATATTTAAAACTAATAATATGATCAACTAAATATGAATCACCACAAAATGCTGCAATTCCCTCAGCTGACTTAAGGCCCCACTGCTGACAAGACCATGATAGCTACGCATATGTGGGTGCCCTGTCACAGAGGAAAGACCTTTACTTGGGTGGGTTTCTTACAAACTAGAAGGGCTTCTGACAGCTGCTTCTTAAAAGACTGAATAATTCTCAATGTAATGGCACATGAATTATTCACTTATAATGAACTGGCAGAGTTCCACTTTCAGTAGACAGCAAACTACATAGTTCAAACCAACTCTCCAGCTAAGAACAACTAGAATAGCTGACTGAAATATTTAAAAGCCTCCTCGTAGACATCAGAGAGATACTAAGGCAGTGAGAAATTACAGAGACCTCATCTGGGAGAGGAAAGGAGTCCAGAAAGGGGCCTGATATTTGGGGATGCTTTCCCCCTGAGGTCTCTGTCAATTATAGTCAAGGCAGTTGAAAGTTTGAGAAACTGAGCAGAGCTTTTGGCTCATAGGGCTGGGAGAAAAAAGTGGAGTCAGAGGCCCCAAAGGAAAAGGGATTCTGGTAACCACCCCCATCCTCACCCCAGGCTTAGAGTTGGGACCCAAAAGGGCTATGCCTTAATGGGACTAGTAAACCAGAAAAAGACCAGCAAGCATCAAATCCTCTCGATCACGAATAAAATTAAAGTATTTTGGGATTGCTTTCACTAAACAGTAATCAAAAGCTCTAACTACAAGGAAAAATATTAGCTAATTTAGCATTAGCCAAAAGGACTATATTAAAGTGAAGAATTTCCTCAAAGGCCACCATTAAGACTGAAAAAGCAAACCACGGAGTATGAGAAAATACTTGCAATGCACATAATGGACAAAGAACTTGTAACCAGAATAGTTTTTTTTAAAAGAACTCCTATAAATCAATAAGAAAAGACAAATAATTCAATAGAAAAAAAGAACAAGCGGCCTGAACGGACTTTATAAAAGATAATATCTAAATGACCAGTAAACATATAAAGTGCTCAACCTCATTAGTCACCAGGAAATTGTAGAGAAATGGGATAGTACTAAACACCCACTAAAACAGCTAAAATTAAAAAGACTGATAGTACTAAGTACTGATAAGAACGAAGAGAAACTACAACTTGCCTACACTGATTCTGAGTGTTTAAAGTGGTACAACACTTTGGAAAATTCTTTGGCAATAACTAGTGTATTAGAACATACACATGCACTATAATGCAGCAATTTTACTTCCACGTATATACCCAACAAAAATGCACGCATAGGCACAACAAGAGACATATACAAGAATGTTCACAGAGCATTATTCACAACAGCAAAAGATCTGGAAACAACTCTGATGCCCACGAACAGAAGAACGGGAAACTAAATTCTGGCATATTCATACAACATTACATTGTACATAGAAATATAAATAAGTGAACTATAGCTACATGCAACAACAGATGAATCTTACAAACATTGGTTGAGTGAAAGAAATCACACATAAAAGAAGACATACCATATGATACTATTTATATAAAGTTCAAAAACAGGCAGAATTAATTTATGATATTAAAAATCAGGATAGTGGTTACTTTTAAGTAGGAGACAGGAGGTAGTGAATGGAAGGAGGCACAAGGATACACAGGGTGACAGTAATGTTCTATGGTGACAGTAACGTTCTATTTGCCAAACTTCATAATGTTCACTTTGTGATACTTCAGACAACTGTATAGTTATGATTTGTGTACCTTTCTGTATATGTTATACTTCAATAAAAAAGTTTTCAAAAAACTTATCAGACCAGGGGAAACAATAAGCATTCAAGATATTATAGAAATTAATAACATGACAACTACTATTTCTTGATCATCTACTATGTAGCAGGCGCTATCCATTTTATCATCCAATCTCCAAAACAACCTTTCAAAGTAGGATTTAGTCTCCCCATTTTACAGATAAAAAAACTGAAGCTCAGGAAGTTTAAGCAGCTTCCTCAAGGTCATAAAGCTACTAAATGATAGCATAAAAACTGGAATCCAAGTCTTATGTCAGAAGTAAGGCCAATTTCAGAATTTTACAAAGTATGTAAGTCTTAAAAGGGCTCCAGCCTCCTTTGTCACTCCCAGCCTTCTCTGTCGCTAAGCCTCTTCCCTATATCCCAGCCCACTCTTTGCCTTCCCTCAACTTCAGAACCACTACCCTTAACCCCATCACTTATTAACTCTACACTCTGGTAATTATAAATACTTGCAGTTTCCTCTACAATCCACGCTCTCTCTTAGCTTTATTTCTTTGCATATGCTGATCTCTCACCTTAGAATGCATTCCTCCCCACTTGTTCCCCTCCCTCAACACTTTGGCTTAATTTATTAGTCCTTAAATACCTACGATAAGATCGGTTACTACATTCTTCAAAAATCTTTCCCTGATCTGCCTCATCCGTCCCATAGACTTCTGTAGCATCCTGCATATACGTCTATCATACCACAGTGTAACAGTGTAACACTTATGTAACCATCTTTCTGAGATTATAAACTGCTAGAAAGGAGGAGCCATTTACCACTTATATTCCACTTTGTATCACTTTCATCTAGCACAACGCCTGCACATAGGAGGCTCTCCATATTAGTTGAACAAATAAACAACTTTAATATCAGAACCAAAATCAAACAAAATGTTGAAAGTACTACTAAACTGTTAACAGAATTTCTACTACAACGGAATTATAGCCTGCATTTGTATGTTTTGTTAGCATAGGCTTTGCAAAGAATAGTCAAACAATACTTAAATACTCACTATTTCATAAAATATACAAGGCAGAGTATTTTTCCCATCTCTCAGAAGAAAAGTCTTTGAATAATATGGCCCAGAGGTAACAGCTGAATCAAGAACAGCTAAGCAACATCAAAATAGGGGGGAAAAATCAGTGCTGGTAAAATGCAAATAAAATTTAACAGAGAAGTTGATATTTAAATAACTACTCCCACATTAACCTCTTATAGTTTTATTTTACAACAATGAAGACATTTTAAGAGGGAAAGATATTTTTGAAACTTTTATACTAAGGAAATTTCTGGCCCTCTCCAACTTAGGAACAGATTAAATGCCAAAATTCATACAGTTGACAATAGTTGGCCATCTGAAGCTTTTTTCTTAGAATACATTCTATAGAGTGGTTAAATCCCCAGACCAGTCTATCACACTCTAGAATAATAAAATATACACATATAACAAATAAGCATCGTGGTCTAATTTTAAAAAAACATTGAATTACAATCAGAAGTCATGCCTTTGAGTCCCAATTCTCCAACTTACTAAATTGAGCAAATTACCTAACTCCTTCCAAATCTGTTTCATCTACAAAATGCAAATAATAATTCATGTTTACCTCAAGGAATTATCATGAAATGAGAGCATTACTCATTCCTTTAATAACCATCCATTTGTTTTTATAAGGTCAGCCTCCATTTCCCCTAATACTAACAGATTTTCCTTTAGGAAACTTCTCCTATGCCATTTTTAGCCATACGATTTGGATGAGATTTGTCCCCACCCCAAGATCCCAGAGTGACATGAGACTGACTTAAACCAATCAGCATATCCCATTCCCCAACTACAGAGCTCAGGGCTTCAGTGATGGGCTTGTTACCCAGCCAGAAATGATGATATGCAAGGGGTCATTTGCTGGTTTTGGGGAAAGAACCACCAGAAGAAACTATCAAAGAATGTGAGAGTGTGGTATAAGGATGTGTGGTATAGAGAACTTTGATAATCATCTTAATACCAAAAGGGAAGAGTCAGAAGTTACTGAAGAGACAACTGGAGCCTCAGGATGAAGCCAACACTGTGACAGGACAGAAAGAGGGTTACATCTCAAAAACATAATATTGGATGAAAATGTAAGCTGCATATTTTAAAACACATAGAGCAATAAAATATATATAAATTTATGAAACCAGACGTATATAGTAAAATTATAAAAGCCTGGACAGGAAAGATACCACAGTGATTATTTCTAGAGAAGAAGAAAAATGGATGGGAGTTTCAAATATATCTATAATAGAGGTACGCGGATGTTTATTATATTCTCTATACTTTTCTGTATGTTTAGAATATTTCATAATTCAAATTAAACGTTTATTTTATTTAAACTAAGGAAAAATGAGTTTTGAATCTCTACTTCTTACTGGTTTACCTCTTTATTCTAGGTAAAATCAAATTCCAGAAACATTCTGCAAAACTCTCCCTCTTTTAAATATTAATTTAGAAAACAGATTAATTGTAGAGTGTTTACTCACATCAGTAAGGGATTCTTTACAAATGTTTTTTCAAAATATTTAAAATATGATTTAATTTATCTACTGGATTTAGTGTAATATAGTAGAAAGAACACTAGATTGAGAATAAAGAGATGTGGATTCTAGATCCATTTCTACTGCTAACTAGCCAAGTGATTTCACTCAAGTCTATTTTAATTATTTGCCCCATTTCCTCATGTACCTCAAGGGTTGAGTTAGATAGATACTTGTAAGAATCTTCCCAGGTGTAACACTACAAATCAGAAGAACAGTACCACAATTAACCAGATACATTTTAAATCAGACAGACCCAGGACCTGAAAAAGATCCTAATAAACCACAATCTCCTTTTGAAAAATTTTATTTTTCTTTAATATCCCTTATGTATTCCTATTTACATTCAAAAATATTATCCAAATAGTATTAATAAAGTATTTTTGAAGTATTATACCTACCCAATATTTCAAAAAGAAGTACAGTTTTCTGTGCATGTTCACGCCAGTACTTCATGCTTTCAATAACTGCAGATACAATTCTTAAAGAATTATCTTTTTCCTTAAGCTTTAACTGATATAATGTGGTTTCCTTTTGAAAAAAAACATAGCATTAGAAAAACCTTTCATTTTTTTCATCATACTCTTTCACTTTCTATGTAAAGATTCTAGGTCTTTATAATAGGCAAATGTGTAAATGTATAAAAAGAACTAATGAAAATTTTAGTACAGTTACTCTCTAAAATTAAAGTCATCATTAGCACTTTATAGGAGAAGAAATTAGGATGCACCTAGAGACAATCAAGAAGAAAATTATTTATATGGGCATTCATTCATCCATTAGTTCAATCATCGAATATTTTTAAAGTATCAATGTGCCAAGCCCATGATAAACACAAGTGAGTAAAACACAACTCCTTCCGCTAATGTGCTCCCACTCTAGGAGGGAAGCCAGATATACTCATTCACTCATTCCAAAAGTATTTACTGGCAACTACTATGTGCCAAATATATCTACCCTCATAGATTTTGCAGTCTATTGAGAGATTCAGGAAAAAAACAAATAACACATAATAGAATTTCAGGAATTGATATATCCTATACCTAAGAAAAACAGGATAAAAGGATAAAGAAAGACAGAGACTATTATTTCAGATGGGTTGTTGAGTGAGTACTAAGGGAAAGCATATGTAAAGGCCCTGAGATGGGAATGTGTTCGTATTTTGAAAGATCAACTAAGAATACAGTGTGCTAAAATACTAATTGGTGAGAGGGGGCCCTTTGCTTTGTGAAGGGGGTGGTGAAAGTGAAAGAACACTTGCTGGGACACTTTTTTCTGACTACAATTACCCTCCCTCCTCCTCTTCCTCCTTAACCAAAATATGAATGTGTCTCGTTGAGGACTACTTAGATAGTGAGCCACTTTTTGCTAAGATGACTATGTCATATCATTCTAGTGTATAAGGAAACATAAGGTTGAGAACCACTGTGAAATATGCTCTATTAGTCAGATTTCCAGCCAAAAAAAAAAAACAAAAACACCAGAATTTACCCCAGATGGCTTAATGAAAAGACTGCTTACAGGTGTATGGGCAGAACAAACACAGGGTACTTAAGCAGTCAAAGACTAACGATAGTAAGAAATTTCTACCACTCCTAGGCTAAAAGGACAAGGGGAGGAAATGAAACTAACAAGCCTGTGAAAGCTGGGCTCATGGAGGCTGTATCATACAGGGACACAGCTACTGCGTGAGAAACAATATTTAAGCAGGGAGGGAACGGAAAAACCCAACCTCTCCCCCCAGCTTCTGATGTCCTGCCAGTGACTGTCACTGGCTGACCCTTAACAGAAGCCAGCTAAGGGCTGAGATTCCAGCCTTAAGGGATCCCAGGGTGATGCATTAGGTAGGACCATTCAGCCTTCCAGAACACAGAGAGTGGCAGAGCGTAAAGAATCTATTGGGCCAGGAGGAAAGGCAGGCAAGATAGAGAACACCCGGTACACATAAGATATAAAAGACATTTACAAAGAACAATTAGAAGAAGTGGAGAGAGGAAGTAAGGCTGAGGTACAGGGAAGAATATCAACCAAAGCAGAGTTGTATTAGAGAGTATATCACGTTTAGAGAATTGTGAAGAGTTTGAAATGGCTAGTGCACTGGAGAATTAGTAGAATAGAATATGAAGCTGGAAAAGTAAAATAAGACCAGATTATAGAGCAGAGGTCAGCAAACTATGGCCTGTGGTCCAAATCTAACCTGTTGCCTTGTTTTCATACACTTCTACTGGAACACAACCACACCCATTCATTTATGTATTGTCTATGGCTGCTTTCAAGCTACAACAGCAGAGCTGAGTGGTATAGTTGAATAGTTACAAGAGAGACAATATGGCCCATGAAGCCAAAAATATTTACTATCCACCCCTTTACAGAAAAAGTTTGCTGACTGCTGTTACAAGAAACTTAGACTGACACATGAAGAGCTTGGAGAATTTCTGCAAGCCATGATTAACTGTCATCATCTCAATAATTAGAAAACAGTGAAATCCAGAACCCAGTAATACAATCTAAAGCAACTATGGAATAGAATCGCCATTCACCAGCTATCAGAAAATATTTTGGAAACGACCATTCATCTACTCCAATGGAACTGGCTATTTGTGCTGATCAAGTAATACATGCCATGGAATTGATTTCAAATGCTCTTATCGCTGTAACTTTCTAAATACTTATTTATCTCATATTTTAAAATGTAAATATAAAAAATGTAAATAATTTATATTTAAAAGTTTACCTTGAGAGTATTTTCTTCTGGAATATCATCCAACATCTTCTTCTTAACTTGATTTTGCTGAAAATTGGGCTTAAATGCCTGTAATGCACTGTTTTGGTCTAGACCTCTCATTGTGGAGCCTGATTTTCTTGATGAATGTGTTTGTCTGAGTGCTTCAGTTTCTCTTTTGTGAGATAAGTTAGGAGGTTCAGATATTCTTAACTGTTTCTGTTGTTGAGCTCCCAATCTCACTGGACAAGAATTTATCCCATCATTTTCCATTAGGTTTGTTCTTCTACATTGAGGCTTAAAATCATTTCTATCCCAAGTTTTCAAGCCAGTATTTTTGTTGGCATCTCTGTAGCTGTAATAAGTTTTTTGTAAAATTAGTATTAGTTTTTGTTTCTATATACTTTTTCTAATTAAAAGAAAATAATGAAAATTTGCATTTACATGGTAATCTGTGGTTTATAAACTACTTTGTAACTACCGACTAGTCAGAAATTCCAAATACATCATCACAACAACCCTACAATATATTATACCTCTCTTTCCAGCTGAGGAAACTGAGCCTTAGGGAGGAAGTAACTTGCCCGAAGTCACATAGCAAGTTACTGACAATCCAGAACCCAGAGAACCCCAGTCTCCCCACTCAGAGTCCAGTGCTATAAAGTATATTTTTAAACTATACAAGCCTTCATATGACAGTGGTTGTCTCCAAGTGGTAAGATTCTGAGGACCTCTGCTTACTTCTTTATACATTTATTTTAAAATTTCCTACAAAGTAAAATTTTAAAAAATTAAACTATGGCTTGTTGGTGATTTTAAATCACAAGGAGACTAAATATAAGGAAGGTATATAGCTATTTGATTAGAAATTTTGTACTTTTACTATGTAGCTTAAAAGCCCTACTTATGAATCTGCTGCAGCATTTTACTAACTACATTAATCTAAGTGAGTTGTATCAGCTGATCAGAACACAAGGTTAATAAAATCAAAAGCGTAATTTCTGAGCAGGCTAGTTAAGAGTTCCACAGGAAAAAACTAGCCCAAGTCACAAATTCTTATTTCTGAATAACTTTCCCGAAAATACCACAAGTACCACAAGAAGGCACACAATACAACCCATCCCTTGTTAGGAAAAACCCAAAAAAAGGTCTAGGTTCCCTAGTAACGAGGAACAAATTCAGACTGTATGGAGCCTTAACCTGGTATAATTTGAGGAGTCTTCTTAAGTAAATTAGGTACAAAATCAGCTATGAAAATAATGAGAAATCACAAATAATTACAAAATTTAAAAAGTTGATAAATGCCACAAACATCACAAGACCCAGGAAAAAATATTATTAGGATTATTATTAACTGCCTGATACACCTCTATAAGACTTTTTTCCTACATTGATCACCTCTTCATATGACAGTATTTTTTTTTCGTGTCTTAAAGATTATATTTTTTTTCCTTTTTCTCCCCAAAGCCCCCCAGTACATAGTTGTATATTCTTCGTTGTGGGTCCTTCTAGTTGTGGCATGTGGGACGCTGCCTCAGCGTGGTTTGCTGAGCAGTGCCGTGTCCGCGCCCAGGATTCAAATCAACGAAACACTGGGCCACCTGCAGCGGAGCACGTGAACTTAACCACTCGGCCACGGGGCCAGCCCCTTTATGGCAGTAATTTTATTTTTCAATAGAGGGAATAGGAATTTTCTTTTTGCTTTCTCATAGCCATGGAAATTCTTTTATTATTCATAGTTTAGGAAACTTTCTTTCAGCTTCACAAGTGCTTATTAGTAACAGCACATCTGCAACTTCCTCCAACATTTTGCTCAAGAGGTGTTCCTAGCCTGGAGACCAGCGCTGGGAGAACTGCAGTCCTTTGATCTTGCGGGGTGTGCCCACACACAAGATGCTGCTTCAGCAGCCGATCCAACTAAGCTCAACATCCCAAGCAGACCGTGAAGCCTCAGTTGTAGTGGCTCCTGAGCAGGGCAGGGAGCAGTGTCTCCCTGAGATTCTTCTCAAGGACAGGCTGTTCTTAGGGCCAGATGGATGTGAAGTTACAGCCTAGATTCTAAATCTAAGCATAGAACCAGTTAAAAGATCTTCAACAGATTTCCAACTACCTACCTAGGTTTTCAAATGTTTTCTGCTTCTGGATTTTCTGTTATATTCCAACCGTCTGGTATAGATCATCTATTATTTCAAACTGGAATATCCAATTCTGGCTTCCTGTCCAGATTACAATGTTACCTCATTCTCTGACTAATGCCCGTCAGAACGGATTTCCTCCTAGCACCTGCAGCTGGAATTGTGTCTCAAAGAACCACCTCAAACCACTGAATAGGTCCAGCTTCAAGCCCTGGTCCTGAAGAAAGTTTCTGACTGGTCTTGAAGAAACTAGCGTGAGTGATAATGTCAAAACTAATTTTTTAAAAATAAAAATATTGTTTTGATGTATTAACCACTTTATTAAAAGTTTGCCCCTTTTAAAAAAATATAGTATCTTTATCTAATAAAAGTAAGGGTAATATTAACTTCAAAGAGCTGTTGTAAGGATCATTAAGATATTCATGCACTAAACAATGATTGATATACATGTTTGCTGTTGTTTCTCCAATACTTTGTTCTCAAAATTATTTCCTTCAGTAGTTGCCACTTAGCCAAGAATACTAAAATCCAACCTAAAAAATAATCCATGTTGTTTTTCTATCTATTCATTTTTTTCATAATCTTTAGGCATTACACTTAGATCCTCATGGCAATGACCCAGAAGTACCCTCACCATCTTCCTTGATGGTCCTCTTCATTTCTTGAGGCCCTACCACTGCAGATGCCCATGGATTTTCCTCTCCATCTTTCTGTCTTATTCCATTCTATTTACCTTGGAGCTGACTGTCTTACTGGGGTAAGACTGAGCATTCTATTTTTAAATATAGCCAACATCAAGATACAGTTATATTCCTGACTCTTTACTATTGCCACTTGGATCATTAATGATCAATAGCAAAATCAACTCATGCTGATAAGTATCAACAGAAATTTCATTATAACATGAAGAATTCTTTGGAAACATAATCACTGCTAAATTTACCTATTTTCAAAGTTTTAACTATCACGTTCTCCTAACTTCTTTTATAAAACATAGCTAATATTGCTGTAGTTAGTTATTAAGTATAGAAATTTCCTAAATGTAATTCTGTCTGAGAAAAGAGGAAGAGATGGAGGAGGAGGGAGGAGAGGAGAGGAAGAGAGGGGAAGGAGAAGAAGGAATAGAAGAAGAAAGAGAAATCGTAAGTAGACTCACCTCCAATCACTCTTGCTCCTTTCAGTATTTGACTGAATAGACGTAGACACAAAATCTTGATTTCTCAGGGGATGAGAAACTGAATGTGGTGCTTGCCTTTCAAGGAAACAAGTCTTATTAAATATTAATAGTTTGTTCCCAAATTGAGAAATGTAAAATATACATAGAAGAATAATATCAGTCAGTAACAGACACACACATTTATTGGTGTATATTTTTCCACATACCCTGTGTTCATTGCTTTCGTTAAAGGAGGCAACTCTGGATTCATAGCGTCCCAGGCCCAATCTCAAAAGATATAAATAGCATAGATAAAAGTAATATAGGTAGCATCTTTTAAAATAATTATTTCATATTTATTTAATTTGGGGAGTTGAAAGCTTGAAGAAGAAAAGAACTTAAAGATATGGATTTATTCTTCAACAGCAGTTTGTGGTGGAACTTTTCACGGCCTGCCTTATTAATTTTTATCTTTCTTCCCCAATGTATTTTAAGCAAAGGTAATAGTTTAATTTGTATCTTTTCCACAATCAATCCTAATGTAGTACCTTATACTTTATAATATGAATTCAGCATAATCAATGTTTCTTAAACTTTTTTGATCCCAACCCACAGCAAGAAATACATCATAACTCAGAACATATATATGCTCGGTGTCCATGCATGTGTGTGTGTGTGTGAGAGAGAGAGACAGAGACAGAGACAGAGACAAAGACAGAGAGAGACAAAGAAAGAGAGAGAGGAGGGAATATAAAATTTCACCATCAATTTTTACCCTTACTATATGTGATATACTGATATTTTCTATTCTATTCTACTCTATTCTCTTCTATTTCTTTTTTTAAAAGACTGGTTGTTTCCCAATGTGACTAATCGATCAAGACAAAAATTTGAAAAACACTGATCTACTCCTATCTCTTACCAATATAAGAACCTTATTATATCTCTGACAGATAGTAATCCCAGTCAGAGCTTGGAGAGTTCAATATTTCAGGAGGATGCACGCTTCCCTCAGGAGTAGCTCAAACTGTTGTTATTTTTCAAGGTTAACATTTATGCTACCTATAAAAATATTTCAAATGGTAGGGAATTTTTTAAATGGCAGAGGATGCCAGATAAATGCCCACTTACGCACATCTATGTGAACTTTTCATTTTTTAACCATAAAAGTGGGAATAATATGAAATTCATACTTCAAATTCCTCAAATATGGAAGAAAACAAAATAATTATAGATTTAGAAGTAGATTAAGGTCTATAGTGGCACACTGGATGGAATTAACAATACAAGTATTGATATATATATATATAACATATAATATATATATAAAGAGACTTTAAAATTTTAGTTGCATATGATCCTATTAAAGATTTTTTAAATGTGCCCCCAAAAATGTAAATGTATATAATCAGCATGAACCAAGTATATTTCAGAATGTCTGTCTGGTTATGCCTTCTTCTGGAAAGAAGCAAAAAGTCAGCAAACATTAAGAGCTCCCAGCACCCACTACCATAGCTAACTGTTTCAGGGATGAGAGGCCTAACTATAAAGCTAAACCAAGATTTTGGTGACCTCACTTAAAAAGACGAGCTGGACCAGAAGACCTCTGCCTCTAGAATTTGAATCAAGAGATCCAGAGGGGAGTCAACAATGGACTCTGAGAACTAGGACTAAAAGGTTATGTTAACTCCCAGCAAGGGCAAGTTAGTTCATGTGCTAGCTGAAGCTATAAGAAGCCAACTGGATGAGAGAATAAAGAGCCAAGGAACAAAGACAGGCAAAAATGGTACAAGAAGAGAAAAAAGACTAGGGCGAAGCACCAGAAATTCCCGGGCTTGTACTTCCTAAGGTCTGTTTTCTTCCATTTTTCCTGTGTTCCCGTGCACACTTATCCCTATTCCTGAGGCAACCTGAGTTTCCATATTCTTTACCACCAAATATGTAAGTCACAATATACATTGTGTGTCTTGAAAAAGAAAAAAAAATCTTTACAACGTACATTACTACTTCATTAGAACAAAGCCCCCAGATCTAAGATACTCCATTTAAATGCTAAGCCACCCTTGTAGACAAGGAAACTCAAACTACTGTACTGGAATGTTCAGAAAGAGCCAAGTAATCCCTATATTTGGAGAGTGGAAAGAATTTTTTAAAAAAAAAGCTTTCTATTTCCATCATAATAAAATAGAAATGGTAATTTGCTATAATCCTAGTTCTTATTCTCTGAAAATTTTCACCTTATTTTCTTACCTGTTGGTAAAGGAGGGAAATCATAACTGTCAGAAGCAGTACTGATACCTGGATCATTTTTAAGTGGATTGGAGGTTAATGGCTGTCTATTCCGTTTTTTCTGATTGAACAACGGTACAGGCAAACAGCCTAAAGTGAACGTGCCAATAAATTAGTACATAATAGGTAAATGGATCTAATTATAGAATAATTACTAGCACATAATAATATACAACTTGTCTACTTCTATATGTCAATTTTATATTTATTATAGATATATTTTTATATCTTTGGATTGATTGTTATATTCTCTTTTTAAGATCCTGGATAGCCTCATTTGTCTCTCTAAAAACACCTCCTTGTTCTACGTTAACATTGCCTTAATTCCTCATTTGAAAGTAATTCCCATCTTCTCCCTTACCTCCCAACTCTTTCCAAATCCACTTTTTGTTTTCCTCATTCCCCTCCTGTGCTTGCCTATTACCTTATCAATTGGAGAAGACCCTTCAAGTACAATAGAGGTGAGAGAGAACCAAACTTTGACCCATGCTTTCCAAAACCCCAACCACTCTTTGGACTATGGTAGCATACCCTTTAAGGCCACAGTTTTCAAACTTTAGCTAGACTAAATTTATCTGGAATTGTGCTTAACATGCTAGTTCCTAGACCCTACTCTCACAAATTTTATTTCAATAGATTTGGTTTAAAAGCCAAAACTCTGCAATTTTTGGGGGGGAGGGGGTGCTGGTTGGTAAGGAAGATTGGCCCTGAGCTAACATCTGTTGCCAATCTTCTTTTTTTTGCTTGAGGAAGATTGACGCTGAGCTAACACCTGTAACAATCTTCCTCTACTTTGTATGTGGGATGCTGCCACAACATGGCTTGATGAGCAGTGTGTGTAGGTCCACACCCAGGCTGGACGTGCAAACCCCGGGCTGCCAAAGCAGAGCGCACAAACTTAACCACATGCCACCAGGCCAGTCTCCAAAACTCTGCAGGTTTAACAAGTACTCCTCATGTCTGTAATGCATATTTTCTGTGGATCATTCTGAGAATGCCTTAGAGTGATAATATCCAATGCAAATGCGAATAAAAACTACCTCCAAACCCTCCAGATGGGAGATCTTGGATCTCAAGTCAAACCAAAAGTCAGAATTTATAAACACTAAAACTAGAAGGGATCTCAAAGGAAAAAGAAGTCCAAAATGCTTGCACATTGCCACAGTGGAAGAACCTAGATAGGACCCAGGCTTCCTAAATCTCAGTTCAGACATCTTGCCACCATACCATACTCTAGGTGGTCCATCAACACTTGTACTACGGGAGAACATACACTCTGTGAAAACTCTCTGATGAAAGTCTGGGAAAATGATGTGTGCTCTGGAGTCAGACTGCCTGGGTTTTAATTACAACTTCAAAGTACGTTTGAATTACAACTTCTAAGCATAAACTTGGGCAATTTCCTTAAACTTGTTGTGCCAAAATGACATATACTGAGAGACAGGATAATATAGTGATTAGGAGCATGGACCCTTGAGCCAGATTCCTAGGTTCAAATACTGGTTCTGCCACTTCATAAGTTACTTATTTAACCTCTTTATGTCGCAGTTTCCCATTTGGAAAACAGGAACAGTAATACAGTCAAGCACCGCATGATGACATTTTGGTCAACAACGGGCTGCATATACGACAGTGGTCCCACAAGATTAGGACCATATAGCCCAGGTGTGTAGTAGGCTAGACCATCTAGGTTAGTGTAAGTACACTCTAGGATGTTTGCATGATGACAAAATCGCCTAACAACACATTCCTCAGAATGTATCCCCATCCTTAAGCAACGTATGACTGTAATAATACCTATCTCAGAGGGTTGGTGTAAGGATTAAATAAATTAATGCATATAATTAAATGTCTAGAATGCAGCACATCCACCACAAATGATAGCTATTACCATCTTCATTGTCATTCTCATCATTCCCCTGGTTCTCTTACTCTTGCCCTCTGTCCTTTAACTAACAAATTAGGAAAGCAGGGGAAATGGCAGGGGAAGCGGTTAGGGAGACAGAAGTGATTCTGGAATTTTTTTTTTTTTTTTGGTGTGTGCGCGTGAGGAAGATACACCCTGAGCTAACATCTGTGCCAATCTTCCTCTATTTTATGTGGGATGCTGCTATAGCGTGGCTTGACGGGTGATGCTAGATCCATACCGGGATCTGAACCCACGAACCCTGGACCTCTAAAGCAGAGCGTGCGAACTTAACCATTATGCAACCAGGCCAGCCCCTGGAGATATTTTAAATAAGTCAGTCACAAGTACAAATACAAATATATCTATTTCTTTGTTTTCAGCTTAAAAGCACAGAACAAGTACATAGGGTTTGCAGAGTAAATCCAGCAAAGTGTGATTTTACTCTTACCTCTACACCAAATGTTTTGCCTTAAGTAAGTTATTTTATTTCCTTGGACCTAAAAAGTAAAGAGGCTAGACTACATGTGCAGTCTTTTTAAAAGTTCCTTCCAAAATGTTCCATCTAAAAACTACAGAGGCTTTACATGGTATTTACAAAATATAGAAAAATTTAAACGTTGTTCCATACCTGCTGTACTTCGAGTTGAACTTTCATTTAGGTTTCTCTTCATTTCCTTCACTATCAAAGACTGTCACTTTTTCTTACACGCTCCCAATTTACAACATGAAGTTGTCTGGCTAAACCTTCAAAGAAAGAAACGTGAGACTCACAGTCTATCAACAGCAAAATCTAATTCTTAACCTGGTATCCACCGGATTCATGGTTCAAAACCTGATCATGCAAACACTTCATGGAGTCCTTTGCTTTATGAGGAAGAATTCACAACATAACCCATCTTTGCAACTCTGTTCGAAATAAGTGAGGACTAAGGTGGCTACCACGCTGCTTCCTAAACACGTGCGGATTTTCACGCGGTCTATGTCATTTATTTCAGAATCAAGGAGCCACAACGAGAATAATTCTGAACCAGATCCATAAAGAGGGAAACGGACGACGACACCGGCAATCCTACATGCCTGCAAGGCCAGGGGGGAGACACGGCGGAACCGGCCATGTGACAACACGCTCGGCGCCTCACTTTAAAACACTGTGCCTGCCGATCCCTTAACATCCAGAATAATCGGAATCACAAGTTTCCACTCAGTTTCTACAGCTTCAACAGGTAAAACAAGTTTTTTCTGTACAACCGAATTGCTGTTGCAAATTTTTCCCTGTTTATTTTGCCTCCTAATCTATTTCAATCCCAATTGAATTCAACAAACACCTGTGGCGTGAAAAAGCAAGAAACAAACCTAAACGAGACCATTTCTGCTCCCAAGTTCACTACCCAGCGAGGCGGGCAGACACGAACGCAACTAAGTATGAATGCAGATCATACTGAGGTGAATATTAATTTCCAAAATCGCTTATGGAATGGCACAGGGGAAACATAAGGGCAGGGGCGGCCTCTGCCTTGTTTCCCTATCGTGGGCTTGAAGCTGGAGACAGCAGGCCCTTCTCGAAAACGCTCCTGACGCCATTTCAGTAACCGAAACAGACGTGACGCAACTTCTTCTCAGCACAGAAATAGCAACGCAACTCGCTGCCTAAACCCACAGGGGGCCTCGGCGGCCGTTACGTTTCCGGGGATCAAGCAAACAAAATAAACACAAGTGTAACATCCCCCCTGGCCCGCTGAGCCTGCGGCCGGGACTCTGAGTGCACCCCACCCCAGCTTCCAATTAGACTTGAATGGCATTAACGACAGAGCCCTCAATCTGGAAACAAACACACACACCCGCGCCGCGCCACAGAGCCCGTTGCCTCACACGGAGGCCCGGAGGCCCATTTCGGCCCCTCGCTGGAGGGGGGCAGGGGCTCCAGTCAGAGCTCATGTCTCTTCCAACCATCCCTCCTGACCCAGAGACGGGGGGGGGGGGGGCAGTTCAGTAACTAAAAACAACAGCCTTTCCCTTCTTGACCCGCCTGCCGACACGACACGCAACTTTAACCCTTAGGCTCCCTCGACTCGCTCAACCGTCGCCGCTGCGACAGCCCAGTCAGCTACCGCCGCCTCCCCACCTCCGGAAAAGCGCGGGAAGTCGAGCGTGCGCATGCGCGCCTGCCCAGCCAGCCCACCGCGCAAGCGCAGGGGCCACGGCCTTGGGGCTTGGGCTCAGTGACAGAAAGAGGTGCGGCAGCTCTCGCAGGGACGCTGACGTGAACGTGCTTCCCCTCGCGTTCTCGCGCTCTGAGGGACGCGGTGCGGGGATGGTCTACCTCCTTAGAGCTTTGCCCAGGGAGGGACCGGCCTGTGCTAGTGGCCGGTGAGGCGGTGGCAGCTCTGCTGGGCAGCCGGCCTCTGCCCAAGTTTCGTCGGCCAGCTGTGCCCGGGCTGGTCGCCCAGCCCTCTCCCCACGCCCGCGGTCACTTCTCAGCTTCTAGGCAGGAGTTTATGAGAGGCCGCCGGCGCCACGGAGGGTGCCTGGAAGAGAAGGACCCAAGGGCCGCAGGGCTGAAAACCGGGTCCTAGGGGTCCAGCTGAGTTTCTGAGGGTCCCCAGGAGGCTGGTGGGAGAGCCGAGGCCGGGTGGATGGAGAGGTCAGTAGGCAGGCCGGCCGGTGCGGCAGCGTGGGGAGAAGCCATGGCGCTGCCCCTGAGCCCAGGGGCTGCTGGACTGCGGCCTCCCGGCCTTTGATCTTGGACAAGTGATTTACCCCCTAGACCTCCATTTCCCCCTCGGTAGAATAGTGATACGGCATTTGCCTAATTGTGCTCAGAATATTGAGAGACCGTGAGCAGTCCGGGCACACAATAAATGCCCCGCAGATGTCAGCCCTTACTAATGACGGTAGCTGGCGTTCCTTGAGCACTTCCTATAGGCCCGGATTAGTCACTCTCGTGCTGTCTGGGTTCACAGACTGTTGTTCTGTTGTTACCGTTTCTTTTGACCATCTGAAGACTGGGATAGGTGCTGGGCAGAGGCGCAGACGGCCCCGAGACAGACGGAAGGTTCCAGTAAAGGCCGAGGACTGTGGACCATATTCGTAGTTTCTCCGAAGGTTGGGTCCATTAAGCAGAGTGGTTAGGAGATAGGGTTAGAGGCAGATTGAGACCAGATAAAGGAGACCTTGAATGTCAAATTAACAAATAAGTTTGAAGGAATAAGGTCATCATTTAATTTGGAAAAGAGAAGACTTCCAACAGTAAAATGTCGAAAAGACTTGTTAGTCACCGTGGTTCTAAAAGAGAGGAGACTTTAAAAAATGAGTAAAAGCTTCAGGGAAGCAGATTTCGACCCGTTATATACATGCATACATACATATGTACACATATAACACCCACTCACCCCTAAAAGATACATTTCTCATTTAAAAAAAAACAAAAAAACCTTTAAACCCACTATGAGCAACATCCTGTGCTACATCTGTAAAGAAAGCAGACATGAGCAATGTGGAATCTTTGCTAGCAGTTTATAAACTTATTTTTCTCTTCCTGTTTTGTTCTGGTTATGATTTGTTTATTTCCACCTGAAAAGTTGTCAGGATGGGTGACAGCAATAGGGCCACAGCGAAAGGAGAAAATTAAAGTAGTGAGAGTACTTTGATTACCTGCCCACTGGACAAATGCATTATATAGGAGACACCTTATGTTTAATATTGGAGAGAAGACTCTCCTTATCCCCCAGTCATACTATTCTGAAAACATCACCTTAAATTGGTGTCCCACAAAATTTCTGGCGTTGTTCTATTGGATAGCCATGTCTATGAAAAATTTACTCTCTCTTTGTTTTAAACTACATTATTTTACTGATAAATCAGGCACCCACAAAACATTTGTAGTGCTGGAAGTTCCTAGGCTTGTTCTTTTAAGTACTTCCAAATATTAAATATTCAACCTAATTGAGATACTGACAACTAGAAAGGGTTCCACTTTGTATACTATTGGTTCTCTGAACTCTCAAAAAAGAACTAAACTAATGAAAATGTGTAGTTTTGGTAGGGCTCAAAAAATCTAGTGTGCTTTGGGAAACAGGGAGTTAAAAATCTTTCGGAAGTTAACTTGGTATAAGAGTATGAAAAGCCTCTGTTGCTCTAGTTCTGAGGAAATGCTCTCCTTTTTTCTAATAAAGCTTTCCACAGAAGAAAAACTCTGTACGCAATAAACAAGGTAAGTATGGGACGGAATTGCTGCAATTCATTAACTCTCAGAAAGTTATTCATTTTGACATGTAAGGGAAGCTTTATTTATGAATGTTAAATGTGCTTCAAAGTGCTGATCTGTTAAAATTCCATAAAACAAGCCTCAAAATGCAAGTCATTTGTGCCAGCTGGGAGCAAATAACTGAAGCAGCACTTCTACAGAGACTAGGGCAAAGGACAGAACTAACCACAAATCGGCAGAAAAGAAACAAAACATAATCCAGTGTTAATAATTCGCCATAGTTACTGCTCTTAAACCCAAAGTAACAAAACAATGTGACCATCATCAGTTACATTTATTCTTATTTTCAGCATCTCCCCACTGAAGTGTTAGTTGTACCTTAAATGTGGATAGATAATCAAAATCTACAGGGGCTTTTTCTCAGATGAGAACAGTAATTTTAATGTATAAATTTAGATTTTATTATTTTGCTTTCTCTATCTCTGCGTTATAATCTCTTCAAGGAAGAACATAGGAATTGGTTTATTAAGTATTATGAAGCATTCACATTTTATATTTCCATCATGTATTTTGTTTGTATGCTTGTTTGTTTCCTGAGCACACTGTAGTGACTGTTTATGTGGATTCCAAAAGAGCAAAATTAAAACTTTGGAGAAGTCCAAAAATAACAGGGAGCACCCTGTTGTTCTGTGGAAAACACTGGACTTAGCATCAGAAAACCTGGTCGCAGGCCTGGTTTTCTCCTCGTAGCTGAGGAACATTAACCAAGTTACTTAACCTCTCTTTCATGGACCCCTGCAATGGGGATGTCAATACCTAACCCACCCTGTCTTATAAAATGGATATAGGAATAAACTGAAATAACATATGCAGAAAAACATTATAAATTAAACTACCCTGCAGTTGTCATGTACTCTCGTTGTACCCCTATTGAATGATCTGGCGTTACTAGTACGTAGTATTTTCAGTACTTGAACATGTTTGATTTTCTGGATGATTGAGCATGAAATCAAATTGGATTTGGCTCGGAGTCAGTTCTCCAAAGGAATGTAATCATCTTAGCGTTCTGGATAGTTTTGCCTAATAAGACCCCCTCTTGAGTAACACATTCCAGCAGAGGTTCTCTGCTGCCAGTAAGTTAGACTGTGTCTATATAAACTCATATAATCTGGTTTGTAAATAAAGCGTGCCCCAAGACGTTTTCAGGCATTACAACAACTTGAAAATTACTAACAGTTGATTTTCCTCTAGTATTGAGGCAAAAAGTGAGGAAGATTCCTAAGGAATTCGACACAGAATAACCAAAAACTTCATAAGAAAGAAATTAAAGCATGTTTCAAAATAGCTTTTTAAGTCCCACTGATCATTGATTTGATTCTTGTGTCTCCAGTCACGGAAAAGCATTCTGAGAGAAAGGAGGCTGGTTCCAGAAGAGGTCTGAGAATCTGCCTTTGGCTGTTTATGGAGATGAGATTCAAATACCCTCAGATCATGAAATGTGCCTGAACTCATTTCAGAGAAGAAATGTTTTTAAATGCAAGTGGAAATATAAATATTGAATAATAATATGCATATTATGGGCCATTTCTCTATTTTTTATATCTTTGAGGATTAGAAAAGTATAAATTATTTTTGTTATTACAAATAGTCATAAAAAGACCATTAAATGACATTCTGGCTGAAAGGAAAACAGAATTTTTGTATTGTTGTGAGATGCTAACTTATTATTGCATTTAGATCTACTGACCATTTGAGGGAGTTAGAAGTTAAAGTAAACAACTGGATCTGTAGTTGATCTCTGCATATTTTAATCCAAATATGGTAAAGGGCAGGGCCAAAGAAAGGAGTGTCCCAATAATAAACAGGGCTCAGAACTTGTAACAGAAAATTAAATTATACTCCACTCAGGAGAACCCCGCACTTTGCACTTTGGTTAAAGTCTCATTTTGGTTTAAATTGCTAAACTTTTCCTAGAAAATTAAGTTTTCTTTAATCTCCTCTCTTCTGAATTGCAGAAATCAGATAAAACTACTTGATAAAATGACTTCTTGTCACAATGCTGAAGATCCTATAAAAAAGGTTGCTATATTTGGAGGAACTCATGGGAATGAACTAACAGGAGTGTTTCTAGTTAAGCACTGGCTAGAAAATGGTGCGGAGATTCAACGAACAGGGCTGGAGGTAACACCATTTATTACCAACCCAAGGGCAGTGAAGAAATGTACCAGATATATTGACTGTGACCTGAATCGAGTTTTTGACCTTGAAAATCTTGGGTAAGACTATATTTTGTGTTATGTGTGTATGTGTGTGTGAAAAGTAGTATGTGTGTGGAAGAACACGTATATGTATATGCATATGATATTCATGTCTGTACATATAGTCACTATTGTGAATAGAATCACTTTCACTTTTAATCATACTCCATTATGAATTACGCAATTATCTAAACTGAGCATTCACATGCTCTTTTATAAACGTTTTTAAGGAACAGACTACTCTTAACTGATTTTCTTTTGAAACGTATTTCATATGGACTGAGATAATAAATAAGAAAGGTTTT